ATATTGAGCCAAATCTTAAACGATTATTATCAGAAATGTTTTTCATAAAAAAAGAAGGAGAAAATAGTTTAAATAAAATGACTGATTTAGATAATTTTGATAAATCGTACGAAATGATTCTAAATTTTATTTCTAGTAATTTAACGTAATAAATACTCATTGGGTCTCATTCACTTTTCTTATTCATCTTATTGTTTTTACTTGTTATTGTTTTCTCTCTTTGATTAATATAAATTGTAAGTTCTCGATAGAGTTTGGAGCTCAGTTTTAAATTTGACTTTGCAGTTTGCAATACACGTTTTTATTTTAATTTTAATTTGTTTTGACAAATTATTTTTACTTTTATTTTTATTTAATTGTGACGTATTGTATTGTGAGCTAATATTTATTTATTTATGTTTCCATGTTAATATGGATTATTTATTTATGGTATGTTAATTTTAATTTTAATTTTTATTATTATTACTCTTTTTATTTATCCCTTACATAAGAACCTTTATTTAATTTTTTTTTCTAATTTTTTTGTTTTGTTTTAATTTTATGTTTATTTTTATTCTACTTTTTTCTAATTCAATTTTTATAATTTCTGACTCCAGACTCCACTCCATCGTCAGGGTTTTAAATTTTTAAGTCTTCGTTTATTTTAATCACTAATTTTTTGGTAATGTATTTTATTTATTTTTATTTATTGTTAAAGTGGTTTTATTATTGTTTTTAATTTTGTATATATTTTTTGAATAGACTCCCTGAAGAGGAAATCGATTTGATTTCGAAACGTTGGAGTAAATAAATTTGTTATTTGTTGTCCGAATGTTTTCGTTTTATTGACTTATTTTACACAATACTTTTTATTTTTGTATTTAATTATATTTAATTATTTCCTGCGTAAAATGTAAAGAAGTGTAAAAAAATTATTTATTTATTTGTTTATACACCTGTCATCAGCTTACATATCTTGGCTGTACAAGTGTCCCTTTACAAATTTTCTTACAATAATTTCTTATATACACTTAATACTAAATTTTTGCGCCTACAGAGCGATTTAAAATTAGGAGTACTCGCATTAGCCTCAACCACCCGTCTAATGGGTTTTCTCGCCAGTGGAGAGGGAAACTGTAGAAAACCTCTCCTGAGTACAACCGGTTTATCGACAGTCGAGTTTTAATGGTGTGTACCGGACAATAATCGACGGTGCACATCATTATACCCCGAAGTCAAACCTCCCGCTCAGATTGTCTCATGTGCCGAGACGCATGAATATCCCCTAATCGCCAAGTCGTCGAATGATCAAATAGTCGAATGCCAAGTAATCGAATTGACAAAACGTCGAATGCTAAAAACATCGAATCGGCATTTAGTCGAATGCTTAAAACATCGAATTGTCAATACGTCGAATGTTCAAAACGTCGAATGATTAAAACGTCGAATGCTAAAAACGTCGAATCGTCAATACGACGAATGTTCAAAACGTCGAATTATCAATTCGTCGAATGTTAAAAACATCGAATTGTCAATACGTCGAATGTTCAAAACGTTGAATGATAAAAACGTCGAATGCTAAAAACATCGAAGCGTCATGTAGTCGAATACTAAAAATATCGAATCTTCAGTTAATCGAATGCTAAAAACATCGAATTCTCAATTCGTCGAATGTTCAAAACGTCGAATGTTTAAAACGTCGAATGCTAAAAACGTCGAATGTTCAAAATGTCGAATGCTCAAAACGTCGAATGATAAAAACGTCGAATGCTAAAAACTTCGAATCGTCATTTAGTCGAATGATAAAAACATCGAATCGTCAATACTTCGAATGCTAAAAACATCGAATTGTTAATTCATCGAATGCTTAAATCATCGAATTTTCCATTCGTCGAATGTACAAAACGTCGAATGATCAAAACGTCGAATGCTAAAAACGTCGAATTCTCAAATCGTCGAATGCTCAAATAATCGAAACGCCATCTGTTCGAAATGTCAAGTAGTAGAATAGTAAAGTAGTCGAATGGTAAAGTAGTCGAAACGCCATCTGTTCGAATTGCCAAGTAGTAGAATGGTAAAGTAGTCGAATGTTCAAAACGTCGAATGATAAAAATGTCGAATGCTCAGAACATCGAACTGTTAATTCATCGAATGCTCAAAACGTCGAATGATAAAAACGTCGAATGCTAAAAACATCGAATCGTCAAAAGTTCGACGTTTTTATCATTCGACGTTTTGAGCATTCGACGAATTAACAGTTCGATGTTCTGAGCATTCGACATTTTTATCATTCGACGTTTTGAACATTCGACTACTTTACCATTCTACTACTTGGCAATTCGAACAGATGGCGTTTCGACTACTTTACCATTCGACTACTTTACCATTCTACTACTTGACATTTCGAACAGATGGCGTTTCGATTATTTGAGCATTCGACGATTTGAGAATTCGACGTTTTTAGCATTCGACGTTTTGATCATTCGACGTTTTGAACATTCGACGAATGGAAAATTCGATGATTTAAGCATTCGATGAATTAACAATTCGATGTTTTTAGCATTCGAAGTATTGACGATTCGATGTTTTTATCATTCGACTAAATGACGATTCGAAGTTTTTAGCATTCGACGTTTTTATCATTCGACGTTTTGAGCATTCGACATTTTGAACATTCGACGTTTTTAGCATTCGACGTTTTAAACATTCGACGTTTTGAACATTCGACGAATTGAGAATTCGATGTTTTTAGCATTCGATTAACTGAAGATTCGATATTTTTAGTATTCGACTACATGACGCTTCGATGTTTTTAGCATTCGACGTTTTTATCATTCAACGTTTTGAACATTCGACGTATTGACAATTCGATGTTTTTAACATTCGACGAATTGATAATTCGACGTTTTGAACATTCGTCGTATTGACGATTCGACGTTTTTAGCATTCGACGTTTTAATCATTCGACGTTTTGAACATTCGACTAAATGCCGATTCGATGTTTTTAGCATTCGACGTTTTGTCCATTCGATGTTTTTAGCATTCGACGTTTTGTCCATTCGATTACTTGGCATTCGACTATTTGATCATTCGACGACTTGGTGATTAGGGGATATGCATGCGTCTCCATGTGCCGGAAAAATACCAAGCCAAATGGGCGCGAACGAAGGGTACTTACCCTTGGTCCTTGAACGACCGCCAAGCGAGGCATCTATCCGACTGAGCTAATCTGTCGGTAAGTGTAAAAAAATTATAATTTTGTTGGTTAATGTTAAAAAAATTTATAATTAACAATAAAAAATTGTTTAACCAATTTAATAATTTATGAAATTAATGCAGAATGTTTATATGTTAATTATACTCATTAAATTTCGGGCAAAAAACTCGAAGAAATATACTACAAATTGATTTTTTTCAATTATGTTCTTTTCTCCACAAGTTAATTAATTAATATTATATTTGTTTATTTAATAAAAGTAAAATTATATAAAATTTTTTACTTCAGAAATACTTAAATATGATTTCTAATGTACTTAAAAAATTTTTGAATGTTAAAAACTTTATTTTATAGCAACATATCGATTTTTTATACTTTGTTGTAAACAAATAAATATAAATAAACAAACATTAAAAAATCGGTATCGAGGAATTGATAGAGAATTTAGTAGATCTCTAGACTGATTTTGACGCAAATAGTATATTTGGCCCCACTGTGCGTCATATGTAAAGCTCTGCACAGCTGCAGTTTTTAATAAAAAAAACTTTTCTCTAATTATGGCTCATTTTTTTCTCAACGGTTTTATACTCGCGGAGACGTTTAAGGAATATAACACAGTTTTAATTTTTTTGTTACGACGTGAAGAACATATTTGTTTATTAATATTTTATAAACAAATAATATAAAAAATTATATGAAATAAAAAAACTTTAAAGCGAAAAATGTTTTTAAATATAGTGCAATTCAAGACGAAAAAACCCTTTTTTTGATTTTTAAATCCGTCAACTGGAACTCTAGAAAATTTTTTTTTTAATTTAGCGCTACTAAAAAATTCAAACGTTAATAACTTTTACAAAAAAATTTCTTTTGGATTAATATTTTCTGAAATTCTTTGTAACCATACTAAGTTAAAAAAATATTTTTGTTTAAGAGTAAAATTTTTATATTTTAGATGATCCGTTTGGGAAGTTCTGACCACCTCGTAAATTCGTCATTGCTATAAAAACCTATTAGGAAAATAGTAGAACCCATTATATCTTTTATTGTATTCCTATAGAAGGTTTATAAGTGTTTTCTAATGATTTCAATAAGGCTTCTGCATTAGGGGCGGAGTGAACTTCCGTATAACACAATGGAAGCAGTCAATTGGCAATAATTGATAGATCCTGAGTTTTCAACACCATCAAAATTAAATCCCAAATTTACATAATTCTATAGTTTTCAAAATTGAATAATTAACGACACCTGGGTTTAAATACCGAATCTCTTGAATTTAAAACTGAGCCGATACAGTAGATTTCAAGATTTCGAATTGACTTTCTGATGATTGACAAATTTGTTTGCCGGGAAAATGCTTAAATAGGAAAAATACAGCAAGTAACGGACAAATTCACCACTTTTATTTACTCTCATTGCTTTCTGCATTATTTTAATAATTATTTAACACGTGGAACGTAAATTTCTAAGACGAACCTAAATTTGTTGAAATGTGGAGTTGCTAAATTATTTTACAATTTGTAATAATGTACTATACTGAGCGATAAATTATAAAGTTAGTTCCAGCTAAAAATGACAAAATGAAAAAATGCAAATCATTATTGATTTGCATTTTGGCATTTTTCGATTGGTATATTTGAATTTTACAATATTATTCCACTTTTATTTTATTTAAAAATTTGAATTTTACATATGAAGAGAATATATGAAGGGTAGTGTTTGAAATAATCAGGTAGCAACAGAAGCGCATGGTTGGCCCGATTCCAATTTTTAAGCGCCGCCTTGCCATCATCAAGAGCGCAGAGTCGCGGAAAATCAGCAGTAGAACCAGTAGTAACAGTAGTAGCCTCGCGGAGTAGCATACTCGTTTAGTTCTATAATACCGTAAGTAAATTTCGATAAACCCCCGCAATAATAAAAACCGTATCAACATTAATCATCCATAGATTTTGACAATCTAAAATAAAATACTCTTTCCTGAAGGTCGTCGGACTCAACTGAATTGCCTCGGAACCTCGATGGTGTTGAAACTACTTTCATATTTTGTTGTTCTTTGCTCGGGGGAATCGATAGATGAGGGAAACGTCGCTAGTAGCGCCCGTGGAACAAGTGGTGGACTGTGTTTTGTGCTGCGATTCAAGATTATTTCTTCTTTCTTTTCATTCTTGGCACAACATTTTTATTATGTGCGGAATGTGTGTCGTACTCCACTTTATAACTACTAAATGCTGCCTTCATTAAAGAGGTGAGACATTTATTATAAAAGATGACAGTTCTTGCGGTAGAAAAGGAAAACAAAACCACCCCTTTCTATATTCTGTTATATATACATAGCCATGACAATATCATAATGACATTTTATGAATGAAAAAGCTTCATTTAATTAAATGTTTATAATCTAAAATGGATAAAATAGTTCTCAAATATATTAAAACCAATTTTTTGCACAATTAGTTCAGAAACACGATTTTTAAAATTAAAAATAACAGTTGAAGACTTATTACAAAATTATTTTATTGTCAAACATTTTTTTAAATGGAATAATGTAATTTAATTTTATATCAATTATCAAATTTGTGCTGTGTATTATTATGCATAGTCAAAGAATTTTATGTTAATAAAAGATAAATATCTTTTATTGATACAAAATTTTTAATTATAATTAGTAACAATGTTCAGACATACCTAAAAGTTCATCTCTTTTAAGAATATCCTTAAAAAACGTATTTGAAATATTTTTTCAAAATAAAAATGTATACAATTAAAAACATTTCTTTTCTGTTTTTAGCATTTTCAATATTCAAATAAAAACTGACACTTTTAAGAATACTTATTCAGGAATTTTTAGTAAAATTTTTCTAGAATTTAACTCCAGTTTAATTAGTTTTATTATATTTTTATAATATTAGTTATTATTAAACAATATACAATTAAATAGAAACAATTAATACGAAAAATTGTAATCAAACAGAAATATTTATAAATTAAACAATGAATAAATAATCTATTTATTCGAAAAGAAAGCAGTTAAAATAATAACAGTTATAACAATTACTATAATCTCTTAATAATTTTTCCATTAAAAATATTTTACTAAATTTAATATTCTTATTTTGAAAGAATATTGATAATATAATTTATTGAATTATTAAATATCAAATACTGTATTACTGGATAAATTGAAAAAAAACAATATTTGTTTATTTATTTATTCAACATAATTTCAAAATAATTGACATTACTTCGAATATGAATCCATTACAGTAGCCAAGGAAGCATTAAAAAGAGATTAGGTTGCTCGCTATTATTAAAGCATGTAGTTGTTTTTAATAGTGCGAGATGAGAAATAATTCAATAAATTATTATAGTTGAATTGAGTTTATATTCCTTTTAATTTGACTACTGCACTGGAATAAATTGATAATCAACATTAATTCACTTTAAAAAGACTAAAAAAATGTGTTGAATAAAATTTATTTATAGAACTAAAATATTTTTTATCCGTAAACGGAATTCAAAATTCAAAATTGCTTTTACACTTTTCTTCATTTTTCTTCACATTTTTTGACGTCATGAATTCAAAACTAACATTTAAAAAAAAATTCTTGTTTATATGTATGTGCGTGTGCCCTATGGGGCATTATCCCAAAAAAAATGTAATAGACTTTTTTTCAATGGATATTGGTTGTCAATATGTCAAAGTGATAGAAACATTATTTTGGCAAAGCAATTATTTTTCGTTTTTATGTATGACGTCAAATTTACGAAATGTTTGAATACTTATAAATTTGCATACAAAAAGTAACTTCAAAAAGTAAATTATGAAGTGAGATTTATTACTGAATAATAATTATTATTATTAAATAATAATTTAAATAATATTATTATTATTTTAAACACTTCGAAGCTGCATTTATTTAATTTTTAAAGAATAATTTTAATCAATGAAGAAAGATGAAAAGTAATCTTTTATTTAAAAATTTTCAAACAAAGAAAAAATTTCTTTTTTTGTTGATGAATATTCGTATACCTATATTGAAAATAAAATATAAAAGTAATTGCTGAGCGGAATTTTCTTCTCGCTTTGAAATTTTATTTTTCTCTGTGCAAGCTTCAATGTTTTTTTGGGTTTAAAATTTTTTTAAATTATTCTTTTTGCAAATATTGTTTAAAAAATGATAAATGTTTTTCTTTAAAAATTTGTAGCACTTTTTGAGATGCCTCTTTTGATCCCTTTTTGAAGATTTTTAAGTTAAATTTGCAAAAGTTATTAACAATTTAAAAAAGTGAACTTTTGAAAAAAGGTATTTTTTCTTATTTTTTTGGTATTAAATTGACATTTAATTTTAAACATTTCGTGTCGCTTGAAAAGATGCTTCAGGAACGTAACGAATGACCTATATTATTTTAACTTTATATGGTCTAGAATTGAAAAGTCATTGACATTTTAACAATTAGAATTTGTGCAAAAAATGTCTTTTTGAAGTTTTTTTGTAATAGCAATAATTCTATTTATAATATTAATAAAATGAAAATGTTTATGAGGAAGCAAAGTGTTCCTGAAATAAACACAGAAATTTCAGTTGCAACTTTGTAGCGTTTTTTATTTATAAACAATGCTTTTCGTACCATCAAACACATTGGCTCAAATGCGAAAAATGTTTGCAATGTATTTTAATGTTGCAGCAACATTAATTAAATTTTATTTGCCATTTTATTAATAATAAAAAATTGAACTTGTATTTTAGTAAATATTATTTATCTCACAGATATTATATTTACTAAAATACGAGTTCAATTTTTGACAAATCTTTAAATTACTAATTTTGATTAAGTTAGGCATCTGTCAGTTTTAAAAAAAATTTAGAACGTTTAAAGGAACTAAGTATTTTTTCCATATAAATATTTCGAAAAATTACTTAATGTAATAAAAATAAAAAAGTAGGTATATTAAACATTTTTAATCTTTATATATAATTTTTCAATACGTTATGCAATAAAAAAAATTAATAAATTAAAATTAAAATTAATTAAATTAAAAAAAATTAATAAAAATTTAATTTAAAGGTCAAATAAATAAATATCGTTCATTTGAAGATTCAAAACTTTATGATTTTACCTGTCATGTAAGTTGAAGTATTTTTTAATTCAATAAAATGAAATACATAATAAAATTAAATTTTACCCTTCATATTAGCTTAATACACAATCAAATACTTGTCAATTTCAGTTTTATCGACAAAATTCTAATTTCTGAGGAAGAAGAAATTTCCGATAAAATTATTGAATCATTTTCTGTTATAAAGAGTGACATAAGGTTTGTCTCGTTTTATAAAATCTTTATAATACCGATAATATATATTAAAATAATATGTTTCATGTAAATTATTATTTATTATATAAAATAAAATAATTTCTAAGTGAAATACTATCTTTTGAAATTTAAATTCAAATAAATGTAGAAGAAATGATAAATTTAATGTAGTTGTTATTAATAATCATCTTTAATTATTTTTTCCGCCTTTTGAAATATGATACTTAAATTTATTTTTCTTCCCATCGTTCGCCATACTTTGCCCATATTTTCTGAAGGAAAACATATTTTTTTTCCCATGATTCGCCATACTTTGTAGGTAGTTTAAAAATATAAAAAAAATAGTTTTACTTCTTGTCATGGTTAGCTATATTTTGCCCATATTTTAAAAATATAAAAAGATAGTTTTTCTTCTTCCCATGGTTTGCCATATTTTTCCAACAGTAAAAATTTGTAAAAAATTAAATATTTTGACAGTAAAATTAAAAAATATAAAAAAATGTTTTCTTCTCCCCATACTTTGCCATATTTTGCCCATGGTTCAAAAATAAAAAAATTAAAAGGTTTTGTGTTTATTTCAGTTGATTTCATGAAAAACTAACTTCTGTAAGTTGTCCTTATTCTTTAACCATGGGATTCGCTCATTAGCAAATACTTTGTCATACTTTGTCAAACTTAGTGACTTAATTCGCCACCCTTTACCCATATATTCCCATACTTTGACATTTTTTACTTATACTTATATTTCTATGTGGGAAGAGAGTAATAAAATTATATAACGACAAATAATCAAGTTAATACAGTTAATAATGTATTATTAATGTATATTAAAATTAAAAACAATAAATTTTTATTAATTTAAAATAAATTTTTTTATTTAAAGTTAAAAATCTTACAAAAATACGGTTAAATAAAGATTTATGTAACAAAATATTTTAATTAAGCTAACAAACATTTTTTATATAAGCTGAAATTTTCTGCATTTGAACCAATTTATTTTTCTTTGATTGATCGCTTGTGACTTGTGCTCTTTATTGCATTCAAATGTTTTTATTATTTTTATTTTATTCATTTCATATTGCAATATTTTTTTATACATATGTACATTTCAATTAATTTGAATTTTATCACAGAAAAATCCTGCCACTTCCAGAATTTAAAACATGGACTTTTGAAACTCGAGTCGAGAGTGTTGCAAATATTATATCCCTTGGGATTCAAAATTAGTTATTTATGATATTTATTTCTTTATATTATGAGTCTTAATAATAAAATTTGCAACTTATCGTGGTTATATAAGATATACAAATTGAAAAAAATGTGAAACAAATTTTTATTAATCTAATAAAGGTGCTTCAATGATATTTTTGATCAAGTCGGCAAAATTTTTTTGTAAACAATTTTTTTCTTCATTCGAGGCCATAAAAATGATATTTACAAACAGTGATCAAATAATCGAGTACCAAATGATACCTGGTGGTTTTCGGGGTCGCTGATTACGAATATGATGTCAGATTTTCAAAATTCAAAATGACGGATCCAATATGGCGAACAAAAAATTGAATATTTGATGGATATTTAATATTTATGAAACTTGGTATCTAGGCGTTTTCGGGGTAGCTGATTACGAATCTAATGTTTGATTTTCATTATCTAAAATGGTTTTCAAGATTTGCAAATCTGGCATTAAATTCGTAATCAGCGACACAAAAAACCCCTAGATATCAAGTTTCATAAAAATCCATTAAATTAAAAATTTTTGATCCGCCATATTGGATCCGCCATCTTCAATTTTGAAATTCTGATAAAAAAGACGTTAAAGGGTTATAGCATAAAATAGATTAACTCAAACCCTGTAATAATTACATTTCTTTAAGGAAATTATTACTGAGTAAACTGAAAAATTTTGATTATTTTATTTATTTTTTATA